AAACCAAAATGCGGAACTTGCCACTACAGCGTCTTTCATGGATAGGATTTCTGGTTTAGAAAAAAATACAAAAATCGAGTTTGGACCAAGTTTGCACGTATGGGCTCCCTGCAAATAAATGCTACCGGCTTTCTCCTGGCTTTTCACTTTTTCCTCTTCATCGAGTCGTGGTTCTCGATCTGTCAGGATGACATAACCTTGGAGACTGTACCGACTTACGCACCCATCATGCAGACTATTTTCAAGGAGAGATAAAGATGGAATCTGTAGATCACCATCACGACCCTGTCCTTCCGGAGGCAGGAGAGTCACCTGCGGACTTCAGTCTGCCCTTAAGAGGGAGACTCACGTGAAAGAGAAAATGGATAGGATGCAAAGAAGATATTCCATTTGCCGACACAAAATAATTAGCCTCACCTCCTCATGTTCAGAACATGATCATATGATAAAGTCTACTCAGGCCCAAAAGGTGATCCGGTTTAGAAGCCAACCTAAGAACCTTGTATAGCGAGAACATTAGTGGGAATTCAGGAAGTGAGATTCTACGTGAAGGAATGTTCAGACATCTTTTTAAAATCAGACAGGGGGGCGCCAGTTGGTAAATCATGTTGACGTATAATCGTAAACGAGTAATAACGAATTAAGCCCCCACTACAGCCGAGAGTGAGCTTGAAACAACCCTTTTCTCGTTGCTACCCTTCGAAGCCAGTGATAGCGGTCTGACATATCTAGTTTTGGATTGAAGCCCTCGCTCGCAACATCCGCCCCAGACACGGCTGGTCACCTGTCTGTCCCCTTTCACCTCTCTCCCCGAATTCGACTGTATCTTAATTCTTTGATTCTTTTCTGCTAGCGAACTTCTATGTTTCGTCACTTACTGCTAGCACTGTCGATATTTCTTTTCACTGAAGCTTTACCAGGTTGGTTGATGGTTTTGTAGTGCGACAGTACATACGAGAAAGGTAGGATTTACTGAGAAAGACCTCAGATTTTCCTCTCCCGATTCATCTCACCCTCCACCTTCCTTCAGCTCGTAATTCATATTCTTTGCTCTTGGATCCTTTCAATAAACCTTCCTTTATGGAGACGTGGTAGTGGTTTTGTAAAGACTACCCACGTGCTCAAAGTAGTATGGGTCATGGATATGTTATGGCGTAGTGTAGGGGATATCTAGTAAACAAATAAGGTTTTCACGATCAGTAATCCACATTAGTACGTGAATTATTCCTTTACTATTACGACTATACCTTCACTCTTGTCTTGGCGATTTTCAAAATACACTGGGAGAGATCTCGGCGGCGACATCAGCCGATCAGTCAACCTTTTCGCTAGAGAGATTAAAAACCGCTACAAGCCGATGATCGGGCTATCACTGATCGAGAGCGATTGTTGTTCCGGATACATCACAGGACCGGCGGCCCCGTAGGTACTGCTGGTCCTTCTCCAGTACAAGCGTTGCCAAATTTAAAAGTGATTGGCAAAAGGATGAGCATCAAACTCATTGTTGTATGTATGTAGTTATTGATTGCGAAGCCATAAGAAGATAGAAAGACCAAGGGCAAATCCCCGAGAAACTAAGAAAGATTCTCACGTCTGTAATCAGAAAATGTGCACTGTGGAGGTAGTTATCCGAGATGTTTCACACTTTCGGCAATTCCGTCTTCTTCAGAAGGTTGGGAACAACCCGAAAAGTGGCTGAACAAATATCTCAATATCCTGATGATCACCGATATCACTTAATTATCACATAATCCCAGGCACCGTACCCCTTTGGATGACAGATTGAGCCCTTGTGAGCCATTCTGAAATTGGGTGGTTTGAATTCGAAGGTTATGGTCAAAGGCTAACCTTACAGGAAAGAGGAGGGTGAGCGAAGTTTTTCAAAAGAGTGCCCACGAAGTCAGTCAACAACGGGTCAGGAGAGGGGAAACATTTCTCATTCATCCCCACAAGTATGAAAGACTATTTTGGCAGGTGTTCTGTTAGGTCAGAATGTGGTATCGCGCGCGTGTGTGGTGCAGTAGGAACGAAATTGTCGCGTCGCGGCGAGAGAGGCGCCGCACACGATGGAAGTAGCAGGATACAACAGTAAGTAAGAAATTCAGGAACAAAAGAACTACCAACGGAATCATACCATAAGTAAGAATCGCATAGCAATTGAGCGCTATGGGAGAATGCTAGAACTGTTATAACGAGGCAAATGATTCGCGACAGCCGCGTGCGGCGGTTCGATTGCACAAAACCGTTCCTACTGCCCATTTCCCATCGCGCGCGAGCATTGCTTATCAAAATCGCTGCATTGACATCAAACTAGCATGAGTGACTTGATATAAAGCCTACGGATCGAAATATTTGTCTTCCCGAAGCAGAGCCCACGATTAGAAAAGCTAATGAGATAACTCACTGAGGTAAATGTTTTTAAAATTCAAACAGCTTATATCGTTCTTAGGACTGATTCAACGATTATATTGTGTGGTTCAGTTTTGGAAAAATTAATAGTGAGTGGCAGAAATTAATAAAATGAAAGTCCCAGTAATAAAAAATTTAGATAGCGTGCAGTCCTCACCCAATGCAAAAGTGGCAAGCAATGTTTGGCGTTTGTACTTGGCTCTGGTTAGCTCTTAACTCAATTGTTCGCGACTGAAACCTCGCTACAATAGGACAGTTCATACCAGTTCCAATGTCATTTTTTTGATCAACCCCCTATTTTAACAGCTTTGTCGAGGCCTTATAATATATTTGGCAAGTTCTGCAGATTCTTGCGCTTTCTTGGCCATCAGAGCAGCGTTCTGCTTCGCCAATTTCGTTAATAAACTCAAACTGGGTACTTCAACATTAAAATGAATATTGCCTCTTATGAAAGGGGTAGTTTTTACACCATCACCTTCATGGGTAAGTTCATCGAAATATGCCTGAAGAATCCAAGTTCAATATACAGAAGAATCACTGTCGCGTTTCAACTTTGGCGCAACTCTCAAGGTGCTTCTTCTATTGAATTGAAATTGTGCATATGTGGGAAAACGCTGTATTGGTTCTAAAACCAGACGTCCCCAAGATATTGTCATTGAGCTTCTCTTAGATGCTTTTGACGTCTATGATTAATGAAGTTGAAGGATGAAGGCTTTTCCAGGTCGATATCGTCGTCAAGCTCCATTTGCACACAGTTTGCGAGAAATCCGAAGACGTCCTCCGCTGATCCTGCAAGCAATAGGTGAGTCGTCGGGCCTAGAGTAAAAATTGCAGAAAAAATTGATGGAATTTACAGCTATAAAGTTGTTTTTACTAAATCTTCTAATGTGGAAAACAAAGGACTGCCTTCGACCTACACTTTCGCGTGGGACTAGTTGTTTCCTTCCAAGTGACGCTACCTCCAAAGTTTGCTTGTCGTACTTCAATTCTTAAAAAAAAATTCATCACCAACCATTTTTTATTTTTATTTTATGGTCTCATCGTTTCCTACTCCATTTAAGTTTGGAAAAATGCTCCTGCTAGAAAAGACCTTCGTCTTGAGTGTTTCTGACGTAGTTTCTCCGATGTAGTTAAATGTTGATGCAGTTTCACTTTTGAATTATTGCAACTCTTTATGGCGTTGATGTTTCAAAGCGTTGTTTTGCTTCCACGTGATACCTTGTCCCTCTCCACGATGATAATCGCCCAGTACCCAACGAATCGGATCAGCAAGACATCAGCGTTGCGAAGGCGCATATCAATTCCACAGCGCAATGCGAATCTTATCATTGCCGCGATTCACGATATCATATATTCACTCTACAATCGTTCTCTAACAAAGGGTAGAAGTACGTTCTGTTGTGATAATCTGATGCCATTCCAGGTCCGTTGGCATTTGGCAAACGGGATGGCGATGATGCTAAAATGGCCGTACCGGGACTCGGAACCTTTGGAGNCGCGATTCACGATATCATATATTCACTCTACAATCGTTTTCAGGACCTCTAACAAAGGGTAGAAGTACGTTCTGTTGTGATAATCTGATGCCACTCCAGGTCCGTTGGCATTTGGCAAACGGGATGGCGATGATGCTAAAATGGCCGTACCGGGACTCGGAACCTTTGGAGTGGGAGACGTGAAGAGTAGCATCGCCAGATTCATCCCAGGTATAGATCGCTCTTCTTCATACTTAAGAATATTGCGGACGGAGAAGCTATGCTTGATTTATGGGATTTGAATTCTTTCAATTCTCCCGGAGAACTTTCAGGAGAACTTTCATTCTCGATTCCACTACTACTGTGTACGATCTTACTATTGTAAGATCGTACACAGAACAGGCTTCAAAGGCGTGTTGAACGAGCCAGTTCGGAATCTAAAGCTAGCACACAACACGAGAAATACTAATCTCATTGTCTACTATACAAACTCTCTAACTAGCTCCAGCTTCGAGCTTCATAAGTCTTCTCCCAACGCAGTAAGACGCGTTTGCAGCACATTAAAGGCGTTCCCTCTTCATTTTTTCTTCAATTCAATGTCATTCTCATAAGACAAGAAGGACTTTGTGACTTCTCCAACTTATTCCTCACTTCCGAAAGAATTGGTCGAACATTCTGAAATCCTTATAAGGAGTTCATCATTGGTTTTGAAAATAATTTTTTGCAATAGGAGCGTATTACTTGAATTAAGGCTTGGAATAATTGGTGCTGAGTCATCTTTCTTCATCTTTTTCGTTTTTACTAGCATTAAGCATGTGCTTAGTCGTCGCTTTCTGTTTTCGATCCCCTCGCTAGGTTCTTGACCGCGGTAGCTAAACTAGGACAAAATGTGGCTGATCAATGTGGGCAATATGGACTCCTTGCTCTCATCACCCCAACATGATTAGTAAGGGATTGGGAACAATTTGAGTTACAGAGTACAGGATGTAACTACTACTGACAATCGCTACTCAATTGCAAATGTCTTTCACACTTTTATTAGATGCTCAGGTAGTTAGTGCACTCACCGTAGAGATCGACTTCGACACATACAACTGCACCACATCCAAGGACGAGGGGAAACGCTTTTAGAGAGGGACATAAGTTATAGGTTAGTGTACAAGAGAATATGAATAAGTGTGAATGTCAACAAGGTAGAAAGTCAAGAAGGATGAACAAGTTGGAAAAACAATGACAAGTAAGGTATTTTCCCGCCGAAACTATCTTAAAGAGTTGAAGAGAATCGTGTCAACAAAATACAACCAGAGCACTAAATTAGATTGATAAATAGGATCGCGTTCATTCATTGGAAGGTTCTGCGGCCTGAATTATTTTCCCGCGCGCGCAGATTTCAATGCAGTCTGAGGCGCTCTTGCGTAGTGGTTCCCTGACACGTTGCCAGTCGTCATATTCTGTTACTCTTTTCCGGCAATTTCTTCAATATATTTAGTCCCCGATTCTTTGCTGCATTAGCCAGTTTGATACCTGATCTAAAACCCATTCTTATTTTATTCTGTTCTTCTGCGGTTGAGTATAAATCAGCTCCCTGCAAAATATGTTGCAGGTAAGCAAGTTATGCAGGTTTCATCTTGATATTCACACCTGCTGTCGTGAGCACGCAGCAACACGAACCTAGTGTGGTTCAAGAAGGGGACTTCGTTGTTTTTGCGACAGTTTACGACTTTGCGGGTTTTTTGTTCATATTTCTTTATGTCATTTACTGCTTTGGTATCACTCGTTTTACCTCCATGTATATATAATTGCGATTGAGACGAAGTGTAGTTGAGTGCTGAATCAGAATTGGTGCTTACTTCTTCAAGATAATTTTTATATCAGTACGTCTCATGCAGTATACGAGGAAACAATGCCTCTCAGAAAGGGTTATCCGTTACATTGATGTATGAAGTGAGTGGAATCATACATGAGATATTTACTCTTTTTAAAGTAGCTAAAATTCGTTCATGATCGTGTTCAGCCTTCAATGTCTGCAACTGAAGGCACCTTAGTCGCCTAGCTTCCTCGTGTGGATCCTGAGCGGACTTCTTCGTTTTTCACTTTGCCGCGCCGAAAAATTTTTAGGTCTAGAAAACACAATGTTGTGAATAATATTTTGAGCGCAAATAAAGTCACTGATAGAGGGAATCAGGATAACTGTGGCTTCCCTCCAACTTGACTCAACTCGGAACGAGAGGCCTAAGCTCTTAACAACTTGACAGACGTGTTATGATTTCGACTGAACTCCATCATGTTCTTGCTTCCTTGCGAAATGGCATGCTCCCAAAAAGAATATGACGTTTCAATCTAAATTTATATACGTGACAATAGTTAACGTACCTAACAAGTAAGATTAAATATTCAGTCACAACTTCATGCACTCACTTGAAAAGATATGTTCTCTCCAAAACTTACGGCACTCCTCAACCATGTCAATGGGTATGGATCCTTATCATTTTCAGACCTGTATTTATAGGAGAAATATTCAACCCACACACTAGCAATAACATTAGAAATACTTTAATATGATTCACTTGACCACTTCCTTTAGGAATTTTCTTGCTTCTTCTTCTATAGGCATTTTTAGATTATTTGGCATCATTAAGACATGTATTTGTTTAGAAGTAACGCACTAGTTTATTTGTTCCTGTAGTTTTTGTAAGGGTGTGAATGAATGTCTGAGAGAAGAGAATGAAGATAGGCCTGATAGAGAGAGAGTGTATGTATAAAAGGGTGCTACCCTCTCGAATAAAGC